TGGCTTGGGTCAGTGAGCCTCAGGACCAGCTGGCTCAGGGGGCTCTGTTTTGGGCTCAGCTCTTGGCTCACCAGGGCTTTGTGGTGGTAGGAATTTTGGTCACTGTTTTTTAGGTGTAGTCAATAATTTAATACTCTTTTCTGTATGTTTATCAGTAGTGGGTACTGGCCTAATTCACCCCTGCACCTGTTGTTAGGTGTTTTTCTGTAGAACTCCATGTGCAGAGTTTCTGTGGGGACCCCACTCTTCATTGCCATATAGGGCAATGGGTTGGATTACACTTTCAAATATTTGATGACAGATTCTTGTTAGTGGGTTGATGTTGAGGAGCCTCCTTCTTATTGCGTAGAAAGCCCTGAGTGCCTTCTGACTCAGTGCCTTTACTGCCAGGTCAAAACTCCCAGATGAGCTCATGGTCAGACCAAGATATGTGTAGCTGGATGTGTGCTCCAATGTGTTATTGTTGAGTGTGAATTTGTACCTGTTTCCCCAAGGTCTGGCTTTCTTCTGGAAGACCATGACTCTGGTCTTGTCCAGATTGACTATCAGCGCCCAGGTCTGACAGTACTGCTCCAGCAGTGCCAGGTTCTTCTGCAGCCAATCTGACTCTTGCTCAGGACATTGTGTTTGGTAAGGAAGGCCAGTATTTGAGTATTCAGGATACTGCAGAATACCTTCAGGATACTACAGAATACCTTCCCCAGGTTACTGTTCACGGTAGTTGTTGGGATCGAGTCTGTCTCCACTCTTACAGATGGGTGTGATCAGTCCTTGGTTCCAGGCCTCGTGGAAACATCCGACTGTCATGATGAGATTGAGGACTGAGCAGGGCTTGTTGCAACTTTGAGCTGCTCTGTCTCAGCATCTTGTTGTTGACTCCATCTTGGCCACAGGCTTTGCGTGGTCTGAGGGCCTGGAGTTTGTCCAGTATCTCCTGCTCAGTGACTGGGGAGTTTTGGTTGTCTTTGATAGCCAATTCCAACATTTCAAGTTTTTCATAAATGGTGTTTTGGTCCATTGATTATTGATTATTGATTTGTATTTGGGAGTTTTTTATAGAGATTTTCAAAGTATGTTTGCCAGATTGTTCCATTTTGGATGGCCAATTCTTCTGGTTTTGATTTATTTAAATTGTTCCACTTCTCCCAGAAACAGTTCTGATTAAGTGACTCCTCAATTTCTGCAAGTTGTTTGTTTATGTATGTGTTTTTTTCTTTTTCAGCGTGTGTTTGTAAAGTTTTACCGAATCACAGTAGCTGGGGCGCAGATCTGTGTTGTGTGGTTGTCTGTGTTTTTGATTTGAGAGTTTTCGTAGTAATTTCTGATGTTGTTGCATTCCGTATCAAACCACTTTTCTATTGCTTTTGTTTTTTCATAGTTTTTTTATTTAGTTATTTTTAGCTTAGATTTTGATGCTAGTTTGTGGAATAGGTGATTTAGTTTTTGTGTGGCCAAGTTTATGGCTAATTTGTTGGTTTGATATAGAGTGTTTAGGAATGTGTCTGAGTGTGATCTGACTATGGTCTGAGGAGGTTGTGGCCTGACAGTGAAGGTACAGATACAGGGGGGGTCCAGGTCGGTGATGGCGTAGTCCACCACACTGCTACCCAGAGCTGAGCTGTAGGTGAACCTGCCTAGAGAGTCCCCTCTAGTCCTGCTGTTTACGATGTACAGGCCCAGCCCTTGACAGAGCTGGAGCAGCTCGCGCCCGGTGCTGTTGACCGTGGTGTCATGGCTGCACCTGTGTGAGGTGACCGGTATGTGGTACAGAGGGGATTGTCCGAATACGTGAGTGTTTCCCTATGTGCTGGTGAAGTCTGACAGTATGCCTCTTCGTGCATTGAGGTCTCCACAGAGCAGCATGTTACCCTGGCCCTGGAAATGACTGATCTCCGTGTGGAGACTAGGGAGAATTCCCTCACTATAGTAAGGATATTCTGAGGGTGGGATGTAGACAGCACACAAGAAAACCTCATTTTCTGTACAGATGATATTTCTTTTGATTTTAAGCCAAACTCGTGACTCTTCTCTTTTTACTAATTGTATGGTGTGACTGAGCTCTGCTCTGTACCACACAATGATCCCCCCAGAGTCTCTGCCCTCGGTGATTTGTTTTTTTTTTGACAGAGAGCACCATGATCTCCTTGTAGCCTGGGGGACAGTGGGTAGCCATGTCTCCCTGACACCATGTCCCCTGTAGGATCATGATGTCTGTCTCCTTTACATTCTTGATAAACTCAGGATCAGTGCTCCTCAGCCCAAATGCTGACGAGCCCAGACCCCGAATGTTCCACATACTAATTGTTCTCACACAGTTCTCTCTGTGTGTGATTACTGCTGTCTGTGGGTGATTACCAGTGTCTGTATGTGATTACTTCTGTCTGAATGTGATTACTGCTTTTTGTTGATGATTACCAATGTCTGTGTGTGATTACTGCTTTCTGTGGGTGATTACTGATGTCTGTGTGTGATTACTGTTATATAAGATAAGATCACTTTATTGGCCCTATACAATTTCTTGTATTAGGAATGTGTCTTTTCACATACTCAACTTGCTCTCTGTGAAGCACACAGACAGAGAGAGAAGCTGGGGGTCAGAGCGCAGGGTCAGCCATTTTTATGGCGCCCCTGGAGCAGTTAGGGTTAAGGGCCTTGCTCAGGGGCCCAACAGAGTAGGCTGCCGGCTGCGGGATACGAACCGGGAACCTTCTAGCCACAGGCACAGATCCTTAGCCAGAGAGCCACCGCACCGCCCTGTGTAGGGTTACTGGTGTCTGTGTGTGATTACACTGTCTGTGGGTGATTACTGGTGTCTGTGTGTGATTAGTGCTGTCTGTGGGTGATAACCAGTGTCTCTTTGTGATTACTGCTTTCTGTGTGTGACTGCTGTGCTGTACTGCCTGCAGGTCTGCGGTTCGACACGCAATACATGACGTTCCGTGTGAAGGCGTGTAACAAGGCTGTGGCCGGGGAATTCTCAGAACCCATTACCTTGGAAACAAGCGGTGAGCACCTGGGGGCTGGGAGGGTGAGGAGAGCTCTGGGACCAGGCGGGTGGCTGGAGCCGAGAGAGCAAGACTGCTAACCCTGCTGTCTCACAGCCTTCCTGTTCAAGCTGGACGCTGCCTCGGCCCACCAGAACCTGCGAGTGGAAGAGCTTAGTGTGGAGTGGGATGCCACGGGCGGGAAGGTCCAGGACATCCGCAAGGACAAGAACCGGACCGGGTCGCCCATGCATTCTCCTGCCAGGTCTGTCCTTCAGTCACTGTCCATCCATCAGTCAGTGTCCATCTCCGTCTCCTGTCCGGTCAGCCTGGACTGCTCTATCCCTCAGTCTCTGCTCTGCCCCCTGCAGGACAGCGGCGATGTCTCCCAAGAGAGCGCCCTCGTCTCGGGGGGGCCGAGACCGGTTCACCGCGGAGTCCTACACTGTCCTGGGTGAGAGTGGGAGCGGCAGATGCTTTGGGTGTGGATAGTACAGAGGTCCTGGTGGATACAGAGACAGAGTATAGCCTGTTTGTCCAGTGGTCTCTCTTACCCTTCCTGTCTTCTGTTTCCCTCATTGCCTGTCTGCCCCCCCTCCCTCCTGCAGGGGACTTGGCAATTGAGGGGGGGCAGCAGTACTGGGAGGTGCGCTTTGACCGCGACAGTAAGGCATTTGCGGTGGGCGTGGCGCTGCGCTCGCTGGGCCGCTTCGACCAGCTGGGGAAGAGCAGCGCCTCCTGGTGTCTGCACCTCAACAACTGGCTGCAGCTCAGCTTCACCGCCAAGCACAACAACAAGGCGCGCAGCCTGGAGGGACCCGTGCCAGACCGCATCGGGGTCTACTGCAACTACGAGGAGGGTGAGAGCAGCGCACTGCCCTGTCCCTGTCCCTCCCTGTCCCCTTCTCTAGTCTGACTGGCTTGCTTGTCTTGCAGGCCTGCTGTCCTTCTACAATGCCAGAACCAAGCAGCTGATCCACACCTTCAGATCCAGATTCACCCAACCTGTAGTTCCTGCGTTCATGGTGAGGACTGTGGGGGAGAGAGGGGAGGGGGAAACAGCTCTCTGTCACACAGCTGCACACAGGCTGACTCCCTGGCTTGCTGTCGCCCCCCGCAGGTGTGGAATGGCAGTTTTTCGGTGCAGACGGGGCTGCAGGTGCCCAGCGCTGTGCAGTGCCTGCAGAAGAGGAACAGCGGCACCAGCAGCTCCAACGCCAGCCTCACCTAGTGCCCACTGGATCGGGCTAGAACCACTGCAGAACCTCATCCAGACCCGGCCCTGGGTGCTGTCCGGGGCTGCTCCTGACACTAACCTCGCTCAGCCCAAGCCAGCTCATCACACAGACCTGGTCTCTGCAGAACATCAATCAGAACCAGCGCTCCTTAACATCTGATCCACAACACTCTGCCTGTGACTCTGACAGGGGAGGAATACAGTCTGTCTCACCTCAGTTTTTCACCATGGCTGGCCAATGTGTTGTGCCTTTTAAGTAGTAACATATATTTTTAATCTTAATAGTCTTGAATAATTATTGTAGTGGGTCTCAGTATGAGCACGAATATCACAATCTAGGATGATCTTTTTGAGGCTACATAGTCCCTTATCCCTTGAGTCAGAGGGGTGAAGCTGAGCTGAAAGAGACTGATGCTTGTGGGGATTGGAGGGGAAAGGTCTGGCATCCTGTTTAACTGCTTCGTATGTTTGAAAAGGACTGGCAGGGGGAGGTGGATGTGGTTTTGTAAAGGTTGTGCTGAATTCTGAGAGGAATTTGTGAAAATGAATTTTGCCTTCATTTTGTGTGATATGTTTCCCCCTGGTGGCTGTAAACGGTCAATGTTTAGTCATGCGACTTGGGGATATTGGATCAGTGTGCCGCACAAGGTGTGTTTGATAGAGGATGTTTTGATTTATGGGAGGGGAATACTGCTGTGGTAACCAGTATTAACACCTGTCATCCTAATTTATTAAAGATGACTCTTCATGACAAGCACTAAAGTGATTATTCCTGCTCTTTCAGAAAGAGACAGGTGTGGTGTGAATGTAATTTGGTTTGTAGGCTCACATTGCTTTTTGGTCAACTTCAAGCCTAGGATTTTTAAATTTATTTAAAGGAAAAAATAAACTGCTCACCTGTAAATACTTTTGGCTTTTCTTGTGTCTCCAGATTGTCTGTCTGCACTGACACTGTTTTTGAAAGCCAATACAAGAGCCCAGGGCTGCTGTGTCTTTTCTGACTCCGCAGAGCTGGTCCTGTGCTCTAGAAGGCTTCAGGGTCACTGACATCACAGTGTGCAAAGTCTTAGACATCTCACATAGAACAGCAGATACAGCCGTTTTAGCGTGACACTGTATTTTTCTCAATTCTCACTGTACAGACACTGACAGTGAAAGACTGGATATCTCAGTCCTCACTGTACACACACTGA